TATCTCTCTAAATTATGCAGATTATTAAATTATAGAAGAATTGGAGCCAGGTTCGGTAATCATATTTCCGCGGCAACGAATATTGACACGTTACAACAAATAGCATAGAAGGTATCGTTGCCTCGGTAGCAACTGTAAATACGTTCCCGTGACAACGCGTATATAAACAAATCCCGTGTGGAGGCGGGGTCGAATACCTGCGAGTCGTAGGAGGCGACAAAAAGGGAAGTCTCGAATCTGAGACAGTAAAATATGGTAGCGAGTCCCACGGAGCTCGGACCCGAAAATGACTCCACTGGCGAGGGCCACAAGCAATTTTAAACGACAGACACGTCTTCTCCTCAAAGATAGCGTCCCAGATCAACAAACCCGCAGCTGTCTGACAGTAATAAAAATCTGGCCATAAGCCCAAGATGGGTGCTTTATTCCGAGACACACTGGCCGACTAACCGTCGGTCGTAACATAAGACTCGATTCGACTCGACTCGAACACAGAACTCTTCAAAGAGGTGATTACCTAGCAGGGATAAAAGGAGGCTAGTTCAGAAGCCGTGAGTCAGAAGTGAATTAGTGTGCTTTCGAGAGACAGACGTCGTTCACGTAAGTGTGAGAGAGTTCGAGAGTAAGAATTCGAGTGACTACAGACTCTTGAAGATTCATCGTGTTGCCAAGCAAGCAGACGTTGAATACTTTGCTCTGTGTCTTATTAAAAGTAAAGTAAAGTTATCCCTGTAACAGGCCGTGAAGGCCCATAGTGTTGTGAGACATTGAGGGTCCAACATTATCTAGACAATCGGCTCAAAGATGGCGGTAAGGTTGTCAGCAGCGCTTTACTCCCCAGGAAAATTATTTAATTAATTCCTGATACTCATTTCTGTTAGAGGCTGAGTGGACCCGAGGGCCATAATGCGGCTGGAAGGATTAGGTCAATTGAAAAAAAAATCCAATGACCTCATCGTGACGTGAACCCGCGACCTTCCGGCTTGTATCATAGCCCATAAACCAACTACGCTACCGCGTGCCTCCCATTTGTGTCTTATAGTTAAAGTAATCTCAGTATTACTTACTTACTGTACTTAGGACTTGTGAATATCCAATAAATCGATTCACCAATCCAAACCACGTCCACAAGTCACTAATACACATGCCAATATATATTAAATTACCTACTTACATCATCCCTTTGTTATTAAATTACAAAAATTTGGAAACACAAATTCTCAGGATAATATTTGCACCTAAAAGGGATGAAATCAATGAGCAACTAACAAATACCAGAAGTTGGTGTCATGACAGCAAGTCAGTGGGAAAGCAACTTCACTCTCTTCTTTGTCAGTAGCATGTCAGCCAAGCACTGACATACCAATGATTTGTGACTGCTAGTATTGACCACCAGCAGTACTACAAGACTTCATAATGTGAAAATGTGAACCACGTAACAGCCACCGATAGGGCTTACATTTGAAGAAATTGCATCAGTATGAGGAGTGGATATATTATACAAAACCGGAAGTGTCTGGGGTTGATTCATGTTGCAAAACAATATATGAGTACATTAACTATTTGCTGGATTAATTTGGTACAGAGTGTTTTTAGACACCGACTCTAATTCCAGATAAAAGGTAAGGGTACCAACATTACAATGTCATACATGTTTTTGGTCCAGATAATGGGCAATGACCAAACATAATGCTTTGTCATAAATACAGTAAATAACTGATATAAACTTTTACAGTCTCATACACATAATTTAATTGCTTAAATAGTACTAACAATTCTGTAAGAAATGCAAAGTAAAAAACTGACTTCAGACTGTAATATTATTATAAATAATGGAGAACTACATTTTCCAGTCATTGCAGCAAAAGAATTTACAGGCAAAATGTTGATCTTCCACCTGGGAACTGCTTTAGTATTCATTCATTTCACAATCATTAATCAACTCCAGAGGCTATTTTAATATTTACCACCATGAGTCATGGCTGTAGCAAGTTAGACAATAGCAAACAAAAACTAAAACAAAATCCAGCCCTTTCTTGTGGTAATTTCCAAGTCACAGTCCAAAGACAGTAAGCAGAATCCCCATCTTGTATTTGAATAATATTACATTTATTTTAAAATATAAATGACAGCTCAGATCTTCAGTAGATCACCTAACCATATCAACTTAAAGGACCTTTCACGCACCCCCCCCCCAAAGAAGAGCTGTCAAAACAAATCGTTTCCTTTAAGTATTTTAATTGCCTCCACAGGGAAGCAGAGCTCGCTTATCTCCAGCCCCTCCCCTCTGGGTGTGTGCGTACTTTATTGACCGGTCAGTTAAACTGCTGCTGGTCCTCGCCAGCACGGGCATTCCCGACTTAAGATCTCATCGAGATCCATGCCCAGACCTTTTCCCCTTCCTGGATATGTATGTGTTTACAAGTGGGGTCACCTCGCAGTGTGACTTGATATGCCCTGGGAGTAAGAATTGTCTGGTTGATTCAAAGGAAAGGAGCTGTCTGTCTGACAGAAAGAGTTTGAGCTGCCTGTTTTGACCGAAGGAGTAGTGTGTTGGACTGTGGGAAGTTCCCACAACTATCTCTTTACCGTGCCTGTTACACATAGCAGTTCTAGTTAAGTATTTTCTTGTCCATGTTCTATCATTAAATTTACCAGTAATTGTCATAACGAGTTATAACATATATAACCCTACCAACACTAAAAACACTATAAACTCTATAACAAATATTCTTCACATAACACATGTAATTTCAAAAACCTGTGCCCCAGTTCCCATGTAGGAGTGGCAGAGGGGTAAGTTACCATAGCAACAGAAACGCCTAACACAGTATTTGCACAGCACATTAAGTACTAAGGCAATATTTACTCACCTACGTTACTGTCGAAATAAGAGAGCAGTGTAATTCAAACGACTCGATGGTCCTTTGAGTTACAACTTCGTCTTCTTAAACCTTCTACACTAACCAATAATTCGCTGTGGGATGAATCAGTTGTACCACTAGGCGGAATTCCTCATACTGACATTAAAATATCCCACGTCCAAAATAATTTCCCTCTCAGAAATACTTTAAATCTGTGTGTGAATTGATATTATCTATTGTCAGAGAAGTAACTATTCCAAGAATTGTGTGAGTTGTACATAGAGGATCAGGGCTAAATAGAATATGAGATGTGTTTCGTTCCACACTTCAAAATAACGCCTTAGTTGATTGACATAGATGGCAGCACAGACTACTCGTACTATGCTGCCATCTTCAGGTAATTTCTTGAGTATGGGTCTCCAATCCAATATCCGCGGGAAAGCTTAGAATGATGTCTGGTCCTATGGACATATACCAACTGACAATATTGTTGATATTCATGATTGAGATGGGGCATCATAATCAGAACCACGAGATCGTTCACAGTTAACAGGAAAATTTACTTTCAAATTCACACATATTTATACCGCAAAATATTATCTTCAGACCATATCCTAACCAAAGCTGTTTGTCGCTGGCTTCCCACCATGGCAGCCTAGGTTCAATCCCAAGTCAGGTCGTGTGGAATCTGCAGTAGGTAAAGTAGCACTGTGGCAGGTTTCTCCAAGTGCTTCCATTTCCCTTGCCATTTCTCATTCCACCAACTGCTCAACATTCATTCATCATGCAATCATGGACACTACACAGTCTCGACACTGACAGGACTTGTAAATAAAAAACTTATAAAAGGGATGCTCTAAGATGTGCCAGGACATACCCCTGATGGAACAATGGGTGGAATCAGATGGTCAGTGGTGTCCTCTCCCACCTGACACATGTGAAATCATATTCTGTTACAAAGACTGAAGAATTTTTATGAAACATTGGATATTGACTCCACACTGTCACAGCTGATCATTTGAGAAGACTTCATTGCATAGAGTCACTGTGAGAGCTTCAAATCAATTATTACAATTTGTAATCTTTTGGGTTATAACACCATATAATTTGATATATGGCTATTCTGAAGGAAAATGGCACCCCTGTGTTCATTGGAGAATATGCTGAATGGGGCCAAGTGCCATTCTACACATTGTGCCAAAGTCCAGTTCACACTTCTAGCAGAATTTGGGTCCCACCTATTCACACTGTTCTGCGTTACAAGTACTGAATATTTACTTTGGATCCATCACATCCTGAAAGGCCAACAGCAAGTTACTGCTCTGTTCTGAGCTAGTCTCAGAAAGAACAACCCCTCTGCTCATCAAAGAGCAGGCCCCATTCAGAATGCATAAATGGTCTTGGAACAAACAAAAACATGGTAAATGTTTCAAATGGGGCCTGAATCCATGAATGACTATGATGGCAAAGTCCAGCAGCAAATTACTGCTCTGCTCTTTGGATCCATATGAATGTAATTTACAGCACGACATTAATGTGCCAGTTAAATGTGCATGTTGCATGTAATAAATAATAATACTATAAAAATGTTCCAAACCTTAAGGAGATAACGCGACAAAACTTGACTGCCCCGCATTAATAAACAGTTGACTGCACTAGATATCCTCAATACATTTATGTACCAGACACTTACTTGAGAAGTTTGATGCTTAATAATACAACAAGAAATTCTTCACGTTTATGGATCATGAAGTTCATTATAATGCCCACAAAAAGCCATCACTGCCCCCCTCCTGAGCCAGTTATCCAGTCTACACTCTTACAGCCTAATTTTTCAAGATAAGCATTATCCTCTTCTCTATGCTTAAATATTGCAACAGACCCCTTCTTTTCAGGTTTTCAAAGTAAAATTCTGTATAAACTTCCCACCTCACTCATTCACGTACTAACCTCCTAGTTCTAAAAAGTTTATATGTAATAGATATTCAACATACCAGTGTTCACCAGATTATCCTAACTATAAAACTGAAGCCTAGATGCATAAGCACTGTCTTGTTGTATGTTACATTTATTATTAGGTATTAATTTATTAATCCTGTGGCGTTTCAATAAAGGAAGTGACATACAATATACATATTTTAGCAAATTAGTTATTCTAGAGCTTTATTGGGTATATTACAAAAAATGCACCTTGCTATTCAAAGCCAGAATATACCATGCTGCAATTTTGTAACTATTATACCATAAAAATACATTTTCAAATTTTTCAAAAGCAATGAGCTAACTATATACAACTATTCTTTTAAGACACAAACACACACAGCCTTCTGTGGATAAAACTCATACATACTGTCAAAGATCAGTTACGAATTATGAATTTGTTCAAATACTAATGCTTTGTTAATCAGTATAATTTTACCACACACCACAGTAGTTTTATGTACATATTGGATCATGCAGAATACTTTGCCTTCTGTGTTCTATTTTGGTTCACGACATTGCTATCACACATGGCTTGATATATATGACAATTAATTTTATGTTACAGAAGAAAGAGACAGAGTATCACTGTAATTATACAACTGAATTATATAGGCACTTGAGTGAAGACAATAAAACTTTAAATTTAAGTTTAACATCATCCATTGTCAAAGGTATACTGACGTGCTTAATATTTCAGGAAATAGATTTAGCTTCATCTTCAGGTGACTGGCTTCATCATAATGAAAGATTTGTGTTGTTTCTGTTATTTTCTTTTAGCAGCTGCCACAATCAATTCCAGCACTCTTCAGATATGATTGAAGCCAAGTTAACAGACTCTGAAGTGATCCATGTATGATTATTGCCAGTGCCTTCCTTCAGTCTGCATGTGCTAGTGCATATGCCAGCAAACAACTGATGCATACCTGCAGCCTTGTCAAAAGCCACATAACTGCTGGTAGAGATATGTTTCTACCATGCAGCTAGAACATAAAATGAGAGCAAAAGCAAACATAGTTCTAGAAAAAAGTTCTGGCTGACTAATTATTATGATACTGCTAGTTACACTGATAGGCTGGTCTTGGGACTGTTTTAGGCATCCTTTCCAAGAGTTCTAGCCATTGCTTATGGTAATCCTCTTTTAAATTTTTGTTTTGGTACCTGTTAACGTAATTTATTCTCTATGTTTTAATTACATTTATGAATTGTAATTCTGTTTCCAGCGACCACACTGAGCAAACATATCTCTGCCTTCTCAATTCTTCCCTTTTGTTTGTTTTTAATGCAGTTATGCTACACTTATTTCTAGAAAAAATGTGGTCTGCTTCAAGATTTTGAGGATTAAATACACCTTTAAAACAAGACAAAGGGAATTAAATATGTAACTGATAATATATTTATTGTTACTTCAACCTCCAATAGCTGACAGTGAACCCAAAACCTCAACATTACAAATATCAAAGACCATCAATGGACATGACGCTGGGGCAATTTAACTCACATCCCACCCCCACAAAAAAAAACCTCAAGTCTTGACAGAATTTAAAGTTTCCTAGCCCCACCTGTCTGTGATATAGTGAGATTGAGACCATGCGGAAGAATGTAGCACTGTTTTCAGATAAACATTTCAACTCAAGATGTCAAAGCATGCTGTTCACACTTTCCAGTTGTTAAAAGAGTATGTATTGTTATATCTAGTAGGAGAAAGAATCCAGTAGGCAATATTCTTGCAAAGAAGTGGCTGGCAATGCACCTGGAAAGTATGTAACTGTTAGCTAATACTGTATTCAGGCAGATAGTACTGAGCACTGACACAAGCTATAATGAAATTGTGGCATGACTCTAGTTCCTTAAGAGCCATCTTAATATCATCCTTATATCTTTTTCTTAAATTTCCAAGTGGCTCCTTTCCTACAGGTTTCTCCTCAAGAATTCTGCATCTTCATTGCCCTCAGTAATAATCACATATTTTATTTTCACGTTAAAAAACAAGATATTTCAGTACAAGAGCACTGAATGTATTACTGTATATCATATACCTAAAAAATGTTTCCATTTACATACTTCTTTTCCCCTTTCTCTCCTTCCCTGGTTTATTACTGAACACACATATCAGTAGTGTATAAATGCCAAGTTTAATCCTTAGTGAAACCACAGTAAAAGAACATGCCACAATATTGCTATTGCGAACACAACCAGTCACCTGAGGATGCCAAAAGATCCACTTCACAAAATACCCCAGAAAACTGAACACTTTAAACAGAACCATATCATAATGAGTGCACCTCTGACTGAAATTTTTAGGGAATCATTACATACCTATTAATATTAATCCATGAAAATATTTATATTATTAAATCTATGAATGAATTATCAATCACACATCTAACGCCTACCATACTTTGGTATTTATTACCAGAACAATAATCAATAATAGAATAGTGTTTGAATATTCAGTTAAAAATATTGAATATCATTCACACAAGATAAATGTAAACACTCAAGTTATATACAGACTATACATATACATATATACATGTATATACAACCACTCACAAGGTACACAGTAAATCCTCATCCAACATGGGGCAAATGTCCCTTGAAAGTGGCATGTTCAATGAATACACACTGGATGAACTTAATATTGTATGTGATTAATGGAGATACAGGAACATGCCAATGGAAAGTCAACGTAAATAAAGAGTAAAATAACAAATATACTGCAATGATATTAATTTATGAACAAACCGTGTAATAAATAAAGTATCTACAGAAACTCAGACTTCAACCCTTTTGCTGCATATTATTTTCTCACCATTTTCATAAAATAATGTAATTTTAAAGTACAAATATGAGGAAGAAAAAAAAGCAACACAAATGCATATTCATAGCCACATGACACAATAATGGATGCATGGTCATCTTCAGTCAAATATTGCAGCACTAGGGTTAAAATTAAATGTCAATGGGATATTAAGTATCAGATAAATTATTAGCACAAAATTAGGCATCAGAACATAATTTGAATGCTACTACAGTGTCTGGCACACTGAGTATAACTGAACTTTCTGTGTTCAGCAAATAACTCTTCATAATTATTTTCAGGCATTGGACAAATCCATGTTTGAGGAGGGTTCACTGTATCACTAAACAGTGACACAATTTCTTTTATATATCAGTTCATAAAAATATGAAAGTTGTCAACTTAGTACCTGCTTTTATGCAAGAACAATTAATTTCATTCATATACATATGTTCTTCAAGGCCAGCAGATAAATTAAATGAAAGGGGACACAAAAATGTTGTTTACTGATGCAGCTATGAAATGCACAACAGTTTGCTGAGAATGATTTATATTGTGGGATGTCAATTTTGCTGGAACACCCACTTCAGACTTGTGAACAGCAACTCTCTACAAAATGTTATGCAGAAAATATTTATGTATAAAATAAAACAGAATCACAGAGACACTCTTTTGCTTTCTCTGTTTATATATATTTCCTCTACATTACGTTATGGATTTTATGTTTCAAGTCTGAAAACTATTGCATTCAACATACCATACGTTATACCTTTATTTAAAAGATGAGTCTTTGACCCCTTGTTCCGATGTTTTACAGAGTTTATCATTCTAACAGTTCAGAAATATTATAAAGAGTGTCCTTCAAAAATGAAAGGAAAAATTGAATGTTTCCATTCATATTACTGCAAATATTTAACCAACTTCTGCCTCTCCAACTTACATTCATTTTGAGTCTAATGTATTTTGTTACCTTCAGAAGTTCTGGAACTCTTGAAAATATATAGATACATGCACACAATACATATATTCTTCTGTTTATTATGTCAATTTTGAAAAGAATATTGACTGTGGAACAAAGCACAGAAGAACACCAATATCAAGAAGAAAAACAAAAGACATATCAGATTAATTCATGATATTATCTAAGAAATACTTCATAATAACCTGAACCATGTTAATAAGCTGGATCAACCAGTAATTTTTGGGCATGTATTTTGGAGGTGTGTAGTTAAAATCTCAGCCAGAACACTGAATAGCCTAACTGAGGTTTCTTATGATAATCAACAGTTCCTTCCAGGTAAATGTTTGGACAGACCAACAAATTAGGCTATGACTGTTTCCCTCCATATCTGTTTCAATTCATTATTCACTATTCATTCTACAATTTGACACCGTACAGTCTGAGCTAATAATCACATTGTTAAATAAACCATAAAAATAATAAATAAAAAAATAATCAACATTATTAAGCTCTAAATGAATTAAAAGAATATGTCATACATATTCTTCTATACAGATTTTCATAATATATTTTCTTGTAACATTTTATCAGAGATACAGAGAGCAAACCAGGTTTACCTATAGTGAACAAAAATACCAATATGTATGTACATTCCTGATAATCAGAGAATCTAGAAATGCTTTTAAATGCAGACTTTAACACTCCTGTGACATACTCACACAACATTCTCTATTTCATCTAAACTCTTCAGCAACACCAGTCCTGAAGTATCTTCGATTTTCAGCTAATATCAGCTTATATCTCTGATATAAGTAAGTATAGAAAAATACGGTAAACAGTTAGGAACTTGAAGGATACAAATGATACGTTTTAAAATTCATTTCATGGCCATCAAAATGGAAGGAAAGGTAAATCAGATTTCAAAAAGAAAATAACATTTAAATTGATCATGTAGAACTGGAACTGTTATCAAGATAAAATGTCAATATAAGTGTCTTTCAAAACAGAAGACAACTTGCAATGAGGAATTTTAGTGCATTCATTACAAACACAAATATCTTCAATAATATTGGTACATACTTCACAACTACTTAATTAACCATCAATTAACATCATCTCTGAGATGTAGCTGGCTGCTCTTTTGAAAGAGCTGTACCATGTGTCTGAGATATTTTGAAGTTCCACTTAGACTGTACTAATATTTCATCTTCATTAACAGATCGTAGTTTTATGTTCTACTATGGTCCTCCCCTTATCAAGGAATGTAATACATCAAAACAGATTGAAACTAAGATAATACTTTAATATCCAGGACTTGCTATTATTTAAAGGGCATGTCGGCTACCATTTTGAGAGTCTTGAAGGGGTTAATCACAGTCTTAAAGCTTTTTGAACATGGAATCCTCATTTTATGCAGCTACCTTAAATGTTAGGTTAAACATATGAGATGTGAGGTTCTCACATAGTTACCATCAAAATGATGGCCTTATGGAATGGTGCATCATAAAGTATGCTAGCCAGGTACCACTGCAGGTGGCAACCCATCCCAGAAGACTGCAATCTTCAGGAGTGCAGATATTGTAGTCAGTCACATGTTTACTATTTCACAGATAAAAGTTCAGTTTGCTAAATTATCAGTTTTAGATGTCGCCACTACTCCTGATATTTCCTAACAATATCATAAGTTACTGAGCTAATTAGCACATTTATATTTTACAAGTTCTCTCAAAATTATCATTAAGAAAGTGATATCACCTGAACTATTTAAAAAAATTTTATTTAGAGAATATAAAACAAAATATCCATCAAAATGTGTTTAACCATCTCCCAGTGCTATACAGACAGATGTTTTCTCTTATTGTTTCAAAAATAAATAATTATATTACTATTTCATGTTACCAAAAATTAGTCAGAAACTACAAATAACATGTGAAGAAAAAAAACTCTGCCTATTTATAATGTATAATCTATTCATGCATCAGGAAGTCAATTAATTCTCCAACAGAAATCACTGTGAAACAGGTGAAAAATACATATGCAACACTTTCAAATGTTAGGGACAGGACTGATATAGTATCAGTTTCAAGTGTTCACATTAAGAAAGAAAGGGTCAAGATTCTGTGTAAAGTTATATTCCTTACTTTAAATATCTACCATTCCAATTGTAAGAAAATGACAGCCCATGATGTAATCCAGGATCTCCAGAAATGAAGATGGTCACTACAATATAGTATTCTTGGTAAACCCGATTTCAATCGTGTATGCAGATTACTTAATGATGTTGAGAAGAGATGGACAAGGAAGGTAGGACACATTATCTATTTGAAGGTACTGTTTCAGTAAAGAGAACCAATGTGAGTTTTTCAATTCTATATGCAGTATTAACATCTCATTATATCGGAATGTACGTATAAGACACATTAGGTGGTGAAAGACACTTGGTCCTCCTGTTAATATATCACAATTCCTGGGATGTAAGATGTAAAGTTTTAGTCTCAGAAACAGCCTTAAAAATCATAGTGTATCTTCAACATTGGAAGTAACAATGAAAATGGGTTATGCATTAGAGATATGGTTAATGCACCAAGGTTCAGGTATTTAGGCACAGGAACTATTTCTGGTAAAACCAATATCTGTTAAAACAAGTAATAATAAATAATATAAAACAATAACTTCATTTCCAGAAAGATACACTGCAGGTACTAGTATTGCAGAAGTGTTACTAAGTCATTCTAAGATGCAACCAGAAACCAAACATTATCACCATCTCTGAGGAAAAGCTGGAGTTACATACTGACTGAGAAGATCAAACAGGGGGAGGAAAAAAATCATAATTTCGCCTTAAGAAACCTTCATGAGTTCCATACACTGGTGTGTTTCTTATACTACGAAATACAGCAGTGAAAACTTCTGTTACCTAAAGTAACACTGTAACACTTAAGTGTCACACCAAGATAATGAAGAAAGATTTAAACAGTTTCATGTCAATCAACCCAAAAAAAAATTCATTATGCAGCTAGAGCACAATTGTTCAAATATTTTCAGTCAATATACCCCTTTCATATCAGAGCTAAACTTCATATACCCTTTCAGAAATGACTTCTGTCTCTAACTATGCGACATTGTGCAGCGTAAACGTGACAAGATACAGAGACTTCTTCATTGCAAACAAACTTTATTTATTCAATGCACAAAAAGAGTTGTACAAAATAAAGTTCTCAGAAAGGTTTTTTAGGCCCTTTCAACCTGTGTTTGACAATGTGGGAAATGTATCTCACGTATTTCCTCATGAGGCTTCATATACTCCGTGGTTACTGATGATGATGCTGAGGAAAGAGTTGCTGTACTTTTCTTTCATTTTCAGTGTATAAACACAATGCTTGAAACTATGAATGACTTAGGGGAACATCATATTCATCTGTTTACTTATCCATCTACCAGTCTGCATATTTCAACCTATAAATGATATCACAATTTTAGGTGATATTCAAGGTAGAACATATAGGCAGTTGTAAAATTTTATTTTGGTTGAATCTGGTCCACAGGGACCCTTTTATATTTATGACACTACATGAAAATTGTTCATCCAATCTGTTGAGTATATAACATATAAGAAAATTCAAATATATCTTACAAGTCTTAATAAGATATACAGATCATATAATGTAATTCCTTCTTGAATAATTGTTCTTTTCATAAACATGATAGAAATTAATTTGGGTACAGAGAACATTGGTGGTATAAGCATGCAGTCTTCACTCATGTTCCGCATTGTTCTTAAATACACAATCATATTTAGCTTCAGATAAATTTTAAAAACTTCACAGCTCATTTACAATCACCCTGTCTAGTATGCAACAATAAACACTAGTGACAAAAATATATTTACTACCCACTTCTTTGCAACAATATAAATAACATTCTTGTCATTACTTAAAATATTTCTGTCAATGTGAAATAGTCACATTCAAGAAAACGTAAAAACTTCATAATAACCAGGAAAATGTAGCAATCAGCTAATGTAGTCAAGATGCATATATTTTAAAACAAATGTTTTAAAATTAATTCCCGCATTTTAGCTATGACAAACTGCAACATGATATTATACAAAGGTTAAAATTGCTACCTACAAAAGCAAAGTAACTACAAGTAACATACATGTTATTAACAGTTGGCTCTTATTTTGTATATGTGATAAATGTATCACATTTTATCATCTAATTCATAAAACACTGCACAGCAAATTCTAGTTGTTGTCAATGTTTCCTATCAACATTGTGTCTATAATCTTATTGTCAGTTGCTAAGTATTGGTTTACAGATAGCAGTTCAAAAAGAAACAATGACAGGACACACAATGAACAAATTGGTCAAGAGAAATGCAAAACATTATCACGACTGATAATATAGATGTGTCGCTTTATCATCCATTCACTTCGTATGAGACTCATCAGTATTCAGACTGAATATGCTTCTTGTATAGATTTAACTTGTTCTTAACTAACTTTCAGTTTATTTCTGACGCGCAGGAGTTATTTCAACTGATGTGATGATTACTTCCATGAGTTACTGGTCCTCGTGGTATTACACTACCACCTCCAACACTGAAGTAGCACATTTGGTTTCCTTCTTGAAGTCCGAGAACCTATATGGTATATAAAAAGTGATCAGATTTTGACACGCCATATAGAAACCAACAGATTAACCAGAAATCTATGTATGGTCTCTCTGGTATTCAGAAAAGTAACTGAAGTATTCAAATACATTCTTTTTACAAACTACTATACGTGATTATTTCACCATCAAAATAAGAGCTATAATTTATACAATTATGTACAATTCCCTGTGTCTTATAATCGAATAGTTATCTTCTAATGATTAATCATTATCATTAAGAGCTATACAGTACCTCATAATTTCAGATACGTGTATATAGCAAGCTGGGGTTCCAAATTTATTAATCTTTCTGACAATGTTAATATTCTGTTAATTTTGGAAGTATCATTTTTATTTGCTATTTATCTTTCAACTGTGGTTGATAATAAAAGCCTGGGCTCACAGATATAATCTACATTTGTATAAGCTTGATATATTACATCTGATTTTAAGAATGCAAATAACAGTGCCATAGGTCATGTATTTAGTCACTGGCAGCACAGATTCAATCCCATGTCAGGTCATGTACAATCTGTGGTGGAAGAATGGCTTTGGCACAGGTTTTTTTCCAAACACTTCAGTGTCTTCTTCCAATTCTTATCCTGCCAACTGCTCCCCAAACAGTAATCATCTCACCATCGATCCTACGATTATACAGTCTCAATATTGACAGCATCATTAAATAACTGACTTAGGAAAAAAAGGTTATAAAGAAATATTTAATTTTGACACTGTATGAAATCTACAGGTAACAGAACTTTATAAGGCTTTATAATACAGTGATGTATTCTATTTAAGTAGTGTGGCAGAGGTACCAATTACAAAAGAAACAGAATTTTTGAGGAACATATAAATGATCAGGTAAAGGTAAACTGTCACCATGTTTAACTGAGCACTGAACTATGATGGCATATGGTGGAGTGGAGGTATAGCACCACATATTCTTAACCTCAGTACTATATGGATGTAAATTGTCAGCTTCAAACCCACCCCCTTTACCTCTACAGAAAAAGCCCTCAGTATCCACTGGATGTGAGGCTTTGGCGAGCCCTCAGACCCAGTGTGGACATTAAGGAGCAAGGAAAAATTTCCTGCCCTGCTGGGAGCTGAATCCAAATTCCTCAATCATCATCCCTGGAGTCTAGTCACTATACCAGCTGAGTCATCCCAGATAATAAGTATGATATACAATGCTAAAGTTACAGGTAAAGTTATCCTTGCACGTAATTAAGCAACACACGATGAAGATATGTAGAAGTATATGAAGTATAATTTCAAGCATTCTCAACCTCTGCACCAGAGGTAAGTGGTCAGCTTCATCCACAAGAAAGAGCCTCTGGTACCCACTGGATAGGAAACTGGGAGGGCCGTATGGCCAGTCTGGAATCAGTCTGCTCCAGCCAGGAACTGAACCCCACTTGTCCAGCCCATTCCCCAGTCATTTTACTGACTGAGCCCCCTAAGGTCCAGTATATAACATATACATACATGCACTATATAAAAAAGTAAAGTAAAGCTATCCCTGTGGCAGGCCATGGAGGCCCACAGGGTTGTGAGACGTTGGGGCTCTTACATTTTCTAGACAATTGGCTCACAGATGGCGGTGAGGTTGTCAGCCTTATGCACCAGCCGCCCTTTACCCTCAGGAAGATTCCTGGACATGTACTACACAAACACAGCAAAACCCCAATTTATGGTTTCTTTCAGAGTTAGTGGATTTTAACACAAAAGAGGAGAATACAAAATTGAGTAAATTTCACTCTGAGGTTACTGACACAGAGTCACAGAAATTGGATTCTAAATGAGGAAAAGCTTAAATCAAGGAGCATTAAATGGAAGTTCCACTGTACATGGTTAAGTTTCCTGTGAAATTCTCTGATTATTAGTAAGACTTTGTTATGCTCACATAAATATTAAGAAATGCTCATATGAAATGTTGTTTTGTAATAAGCCTTAGTAACTGTGTACACTCACCTACAATTTCTATGGTAATGTTTTCTTCAATGCCTGCTGGGCTCGTAGTTCCCACTCCTCTTTCCTCTGCTGGATTCTTTTAAATCTTGGCATACTGCTTTCTTCACTGTTGCCAGAAATTGGTATATTTTCACCTTGCAAGTTTATTTTGTCACTATTCAATCTCTTTGTCTCAGAATTTGTTATATCTATTTCCTTTTCCTTGTAAATATTTGCCCATACTCTATGAGGTGTCTTTTCCAAGCTCAATTCTGTATTTGGGGTTTCAGGAATAGTTCTGTGCCTTTGTCGCTTGTCAGGGCTGTTCCCAGGATTATCTTTGCGATATATGAAGCTTGCATCACAGTTGTGAGTAGTGTGTTCGTTATTCATAGTGGCTCCACTGCTAAGAGATCGCTGATATTTGTTTGTTCCAGTCACAATGCTTCCAATTCGAGGGGTGTTACACAGACTTATACTTGTGGTGGAAGCTTTCAAGACTGGTATTGTCTCACTAGAATCAATGTGTATTTTTGATTCACCGAGTGGCTCTTTAATCATCTGTTTCTTCCTTTCTTCACGTGGTGAATCACCGCCTTCATTCTCTTTATCGCTGTCTCTTGACTTTGTTCCCTGCTGCTCTGATACTGGTTCAGTGCGGCTCTTGGTTGCGACTTGCTGTCCCAAAGCTTCACTCTCGCTGTCTTTCAGTTTCAAAGAACGGCGTGCAAAAACCTTCAACAGTTCTGGTTCTTCATCCTTCCCTCCCCCTCCCTTTCCACTATCACCCCGTGAAATGGATTTCTTGCGCAGAACCACTTCAGAAGTACCCAAGTTGTTTTCTTGTGTTCTGATCGTCTCTCCTCCAGAAGTTCGCTTCTCTGCCTGACCTTCCTCCTCTCTCCATAGTCCAAACTTCTTCCCATCCTGCTTGCTTGCTGTGTCCACTCCTCCTGATGCACGTCTTTCTACCATATTTGTTTCCTCTTCTTTTCTAAGCCCAAAGTCTTTTGTAGAGATTATTTTCTTACTACGGAGAACTACTTCAACAGAGCCAATTTCCTGATTCTTTTCTGTTGCTATGATCTCCTCTTCCCTCCAAGACCCATGTTCCTTTGTTATAGACTTTTTTCTTGATGAGCTCATTTCAAGGTTGGGAACATTACTGGACACTTCTTCCACATTTGGTATGACTGCCTTGTCAACAATTGTAATATCTTCAAAATCATCACTCATTTGCTTCTTCATGAAGGATTTGTGGCTATCTGCTGAATCAAGACTTGTTGCTTGTTTCTTTAGAACTGGTTTTGAGGACCCTGATGGCAGTGGAGAAGATGCCATATTGGAGGATATAGAAACAACTGAACACTTTATATTGGTCACATTCATTTGATTTGTGGAAGGGAATGACTTGCTCCTCTGTTTTGGTGAGGGAGCTGCCGACATGGTATCATTATCCGTGACTCTGGCTGAAGAATCACTGCAAGCAGTCATAGTTTTCTGGCCTGTCTCTTGTACGACAGTTCCTGAGGAACAAGACTGTGTAGCTGGCTCTGTAGCCATGTTACTATCATACACTACAATCACATCTTCCTTGCTTGATTTCTTATCTCTTACACTTGGCAACTGTGTTGATGGAGTGGCTGGTGTATCAGTAATCAACACTTCATTCAGTGCAGCTCCTGCAGTTTCAGAACTTGCCTTTTCAGTCAGCTTCCCCAGACTTTCTTTCCTTTTGGGTCTTGTTTGTGGATTATAACTCCGGTCTGTGTTATCAAAAACCACAGATGTAGACAGAACCACATTAGTTGCAGGTTTACTATCAACTCGATTTAACTGAACTTTCAGAAATTCTGGGATTTGTTCTACTGATGAGGGCCCTACAGGTCGGGCCCTGGAACCCTGAACACGATGAGGGGTTGTGACCTGTGACTGTTCCTTTTCAAAACATACTTTATTAGTAACTCTTTCCACAGGTTGGTTAGAAATAGCTGCAGATGACTGAGAAAGGGGCTCCAAAGGTTTGGAAGTGGTGTCTCCTGCAGGTGTGGATGATTCTGGAAGTAAGGTTTTGGATGATACACAGAATATGACTGGTTTTTTCACATCCAAGGGACTTACTTTATCAGTTAACTGGCTTGCTGGTACAGCACTGCTTTCAGCAGTACTGATATTAGATACTGTAATGCTCTCTTCTTCTAACTTTATGTTCTGAATAGTACGGAAACCTTCAGAACTGGCAGGGACCATAACCTGTTGTGTAACACTGTTAATACTCTCACTAGAAGATGACTTCTTACTGGACAGATGAAGTTCAGGTGATGGTGACTTCTTTGACTCACTTAAACTTCCAATGCTGTCCAAAGAGGCTGATTTTTTCATTATGTGATCTGATTGCCTAGAGTGATATATGCTAGCCATAGGACTGTTTTCTACAGTAGTTGATGTCTCTTTTGCTATGGTTCTTGTGGTAACTATTGTATTCTTAGTAAAATGTCTCCCAGTTAAGTCTGATGAAGGATCAGTGGTGTCGCCTTTGTCTTTGTTTCCACTAATCATATTACAGTCTTCAGCTGTAGAGATTTCATACAATGGCAGCTGTGAGACATCACTAATGACAATATTATCTATTATCTTATGGCTAGAGACAGTCTTTGTTTGTTCAATCTCATATTTCCATAGTGTCTCCCCCTTAACAGAACATTCTTGTGGAGATCTGTTCAAAATACTGGCTTCACTCTCACCAATGAAAGCAGGCAAGTTGTTAGACAATGCAGAAACTTCTGGCTCCCTTCTGAAGCTCTTTGACTTCTTCACTGCATGCTTTCTATTCTCTTCTGAATCCTCAGTGATCACAGTGTCTATCAGTGAAGTGTATTCACGCTCATCACAATTCAGTTCATTGGCAATCAATCTTTGCTGATATGAAGATAATCCAGCAAGCTTCAATTTTGACCTGAAATGCTGCAAATCTGTTACACTGTCTTCTTGGTCATGGGTCCATACATTATCAATCAATGTCGGCTCCAAACCTTCCCTGGAAGGAGAAACGACTTCTAAACAAGATTTTGTTTTGTTACCAGCATACAAAGGCGAGTCTGATGGCTTAATACTGTAAAAGCCTATGGATGGCTCTGGCCAAGTAGGTTTCGGTGGAGAAGTACAGTATGGCAGTTGCATGCGGTTTACTGGTATAGTTTCCTGAGATTTTTTGCTTGCTTCTGTTTCTGTTGCTGGAGGAGGGGGACTAGATGGTACAGGCAGACCAACTGTCACTTCTTCCACTTCTCGGTTAGTTTCCACCTTACGTGGGCCTTCTGGACTAGCTGGAATGTTGATGGGCTTTACTCTCTGTCTTGAAGCTGGTGTACTTCGAGTACCTCCCATTTTCCCTGTGTGTTGCTTCATTTGCAATGGTGGTACATTTACAGGATAATCATTTACAGTTTCATTTGCATACCGTCCCTTCAGATCAATGCGTTTGGGTACCACAGGGGGTACTTCAGAAACTTGTTTGCTAGAGTACACAGTGCTGCTGGATGTGCATTCAGCATCCTGTGGATGATCCTTCTTCTTTTTGCCACTCCTTCTGATAAATCTGCTGAAGAATGAAGACTCATCTTTCTTCTTGTCATCTCGCTCTCTCTCCCTGTACAACATATCATCGTTAACATCTTCCTCTCTTGCCTCCTCATCCTCTTCTCCAACTACTCCACACACCCTTTTCTGCCTCTCTGGGTTCCCTCCACTTTTACTTAGAGCCTTTGAGACAATGTCGCTTTCACTCACAATCTTAGTATGATGATGGTACCCTGCCATGCTGGTTACTCTTGTTGAGTGGCTGTATTCATCTGAAATGGAACGCTGAAATTGCTGCACAGTGGCGCCTTGCCGGTGGGCTATGTTGGAGTTGCAACGTTTCACTTTTGGAACAATTGGTGTTTCAGCATTTGGCATCTCTGGAGTTAATGCTAATCCAGGAGGAAGAGATGCAGATTTCAGTTGAACATCAGCAGGCAGCAAGTTAGTAACAGGGTGTGCTGAAGGCCAAGCAGTGACTTGATCAGTGCCACTGACAGCAATAGTAGTGCTAAGCTCATCAGTGCCAATAAAGTCTGCAAAGAAGAGACAGAGTGAAGCCATGCAACACACACATGCAACTGCTAAGTGTCAGAGATATCTTTATAAATATGAACATTTAATTGCAGCTTCTACAGTCTGAGTTTCACATAGCACAGACTATGAAGAATAACATCTCCTGTGAAATGTGTAGTCTGCTAGACATTTACCAACATCTGAGAAGAACATACCACCTCCATCTTTAGGGACAAAGCTTAAGTCAAGAAAGCAAGTCCTTGCTTGAAGATAGGGGCAGAATGTTCTTCTGAAACCTTGATAAACTTCTACCAGAATACATAGCATCATATTCCAGAAAATAGTGTTCTCCATTTTCAGTTTCTCTCATTTCACATAAAAATACTTACATTAGTCTTCACTAAAATGTTATAACACATGTGCACTTCATGACAAGAGTATATTTTATTTATGGTGAATGCCTACATGTACAGTGAGCTAAAGATATCAATTTATGTAAAAAACATTACTACTTTCAATGAGAATTACAATTTTTTAACATAATCTCTAAACAGAAGTTACAACGTGATGATATTTATGAATTTTTATATTGTCAGCAGGCCCAGTGTGAACCTGAATTCTGAATCACATGATAAGAACTCCATCACCCCTTCTCTCTCTTTCATAAACATCTATTTTCTCACGACTTTGCCACAATTAATAATATAAAATTTCTCTACATTGTGACAAAACCTGTCACTGGCGTCATTACTCTTAAACAGTTTCATTTACATTGTTCTGCATTATCCTTACTATTAAAGTACACATCAATAATGCAACACTATAAAAGACATCAAAATATGTCACTCACTAAAAATGTATTTCGATACTTAAAGATGTTGAAATCATTAAAACGTCAATAGGACACTAAAAGATATTTCATATATTAAAAGTGATTAACAGAATTTCTGAAATGTCCCTGGTTTTACACATATTTTTCTAGTTTCTTACGACATGTTTTGGCCTTACATTGGCCATCATCAGGTGATTGTTTCTTTTTTCTTGGGAGACCACTGCACTGCACCTGTTCACTGTGCTCCTTTCATGCACGTTTAAGTCAATCTCATGACTAGTCGCTGCACTGTTTGCGGGTATTTGTTGTTTTTGCATGTCTTATGTTTCATTATTGCTGCCTATCTGTGTCTATCTGTACACAGACAGAGCAATGGTGACACATATACAGGAAGATACGACATATAAAAAACCACAAACAGCTGTAAAGAGTGCAGCAAGTAGTCATGAGATTGAACTAAACGTGCATGAAAGGAGCAGTGAACGGGTGCAGTGCAGTGGTCTCCCCAAAAAAGAAAATCACCTGATGATGGTCAATGTGAGGCTGAAACATGTCGTAAAAAACTAGAAAAATACATGGAAAACCAGAGACATTTCAGAAATTCTGTTAATCACTTTTAATGTATGAAATATCTTTTAGTGTCCTATTGACATTTTAATCATTGTAACATCTTTAAGTATCAAAATACATTTTTATTGAGTGACATATTTTCATGTATTTTACAGTGTTGCATTATTGACATGTACTTTAATTATAAGGATAATCCCTCAATGCAATGGGATTCTAAAATATAATATTGTTTTGCATGTTTAGTTCCTGTCAATTAAAGCAAGGATATTAACAAGATATGGGATAAATTATTTCATTTTACAAATATCCTAAAAAGGCCACAAGATATGGTCATTTCATTAAGTCCATTGTGATAATTTTTAAATAATGAATTAATTACAAGCGTCGTACCGAAAGTCATGAGCAACAATTTTTTGTAAAGTAACATGCTGTATTATTGACAAACCAAATACACCACCTCAATCTACAGACCTTTCTTTATTTTTCCACATAATCGCAACTTCTTTGTACACATTTCTCCCAGCATTCTGGGAGTTTGAAAATTCCCCTTCTATAAAATTCCGTTCCAGCCATCCAAAGACACTGACGCACTGCTTTCTGAATTGCCTCCCTTGTCTCAAAACGTTGTCCACGCAGCTGATCCTTCACAAATCCGAAAAGATGGTAGTCGGAGGGTGCCAGATCAGGGCTATAGGAGATGTGTGGAAAAACTTCCCACACCATCTTTGCAATTGCTTCCAATGTGAGGCGAGCGGCGTGAGGGCAAGCTTTGCCATGCAGGATGATGATGTTTCGTCCCGGACGTTTATCGCGCAATGCACGACGGAGCTTGTGCAGCGTCCGGACATAACGAGCAACATTGATGGTTTGCCCAGGTTACAGGAATTTGGCCAGAATAAACCCCTCTGCATCCCAGAAGACTGTGCCCAACACCTTCACAGCTGATGGCACTGTTATTGCCTTCTTTTTTGATGAAGAATGCAAATGGTGCCATTCCATACTCTGCCGTTTCGTTTCAGGCTCAAAATGGTGAAACCAGCTTTCGTCAATGGTCACAATACAGAGCAAAAAATCATCGCCTTTGTGTCGATATCTCTGCAGCAGTTCTGAGGTGATGGCTTTTCGCTGATCTTTGTGGTCTTCGGTCAATAACCACAGGACCCAATGAACACAAACTTTCCTATAACCCAAGCTTTCAATCATCTCCTGTACTGCACTGTGCTCTATTCCAAGTTTTCAGGCTACTGTGTCCACAGTCACATGCCTGTCATCTTGAATGATCTCATCCACTCTTTCCTTGTTGCGTTCAGCTGAGGCTGTTCGAGGACAACTGCTCCAAGGCTCATCTTCGATGCTGGTGTTCCCATCTTTAAAATGTTTCACCCATCTTCGAACACTGCTCACACTTCCATAAGCACGTTGAAGCCTCTGGTGAATTTCTGAAGCAGGGATTTCCTCTTTCACAAGAAATTCATTGACAGCACGCTGACAAAATAACATATCGTTGTCGGCCATTTTGTTAGGAGTGATACTGGTCACGTGATGCAAGCTATTGCCATCACAAGACACTCAAGGTTAGCACAACAGCTGGTTCCACCTACCACCATACTCTCTATCGTCTGCTGTTCCCAGGTTACATGCAAAAAAAGTTGTTCATGACTTCGGTATGACCTACGTATATAGGGGTCTTTTTCTAGCACTCCATACAATTGATAAAATGTTCTTACATATTTATAATAAAATCTTTAAAAAATTAATAACGAATTCATCAACCAACATGGTTTGTGCATATATAACCTGCTCCAGATGGAACTGCATCTGAGCAATGGCTCTGCCATGAAACACTGAACATGCATTACATTACAAAGCTAAATGCACACAACTGTGGGAGAAATCTGAAAGGAACTGTCTGCAGAAATTATTTCTATGAAGGTATGAAGCCTTACACAGAGCTGAAAGAGAGTGAAATAAAAGCAAACATATATTTGTGTGTGTTAACAAAGATAGCAGCAATTAAAAGTACAGAACATGACATTAAAGGCACTGAATTGAGTTCACAGCATGAACAATAATCTTCCTCTTGCCTCAGAACTGGTAAATAACACTAAAAGTTCAAACCTTCATAATATACACTGCTTTCACATACATTAATTTTGATTGTGTTTATAATTTAAAATGACCTGTCTGTTTAAAGGATGAATACAGACAGATCCATAACTGATCATATGTTTCATTTTGTGACTTTATATGGCATTTATTTACACAGCACTGACTCCAATTTCTAGCCTCAATTGTTAAATATTGAATTTAAAAAAACATTTTTATAAAATTTCCTCTAGCAGGAATACTCATGTACACTTAGTACTTGAGAATAAAGGAACCTTCCATGAAGATTCTCTATTATTTCACACTCCATCATAAGTTTATTAAAAGACATTAATATAATGTTGTGATACTTAATCTAAACAACACATGGCCACTAACTGAATGAGACCAAACTAATGCTTCACACCACCAACAAAAGTAAAGAACCTTCCTGTCTACCCTGTATAAGAAAGCAATACATTCCTCTCTGACACAATGGTATCCAACCATAGGCTACACAGTGTCATCACCCAGATCATCACAATCTGAATTTCTGTGATATCAACATGCTCTATTCTTATCCACCAAAGTCTGTATGCAAGATGAAAAAGCAGTAAGAAGAAACAGACTCTTATATAAGGTAAAAATCTGTACTCGTCTTGTAGAGAAATGAAAACAAATGTTTCTAAACTGTTATATAAGGGATAGTAAATTACCTCAGCTTCCGGCCGAAATACAACAAAATTCCAGTATCTTTCAGGTTTTATTCTCATTATATTATTATATTGATATGCTTCATCATAATTTATCCTTAAAAACGTGAATTAATGGCAAAAAAACAAACTGCCATTATCATCCTCTATGCTGAGAATGACACATTGAAAAAGGAAACACTGACCTGATGATTTACCATCTGGACTTGAACTGCGACCTGAGGCCTCTTCATTTAGTTCCGGTGTTGATGGTAACGGGCTGACACCAGCCAGCTGCAAATGACAGTAAGATGAGTAATTTGTCTATGAAGAGACACAACTTGCAGGAACACTTTTTCAATGCTGTAAAATCACCTAATACTTGAAACTTGTCCACCTCCTGTCCTTCAATAAGTATTCATAACACTCCTCTGGATGAAGAGAATGTAACAGATTCCTTGAAAAAATAATAAATCAAATTAAATTGTAGCTGAAATTAGACAATGTGGTCCAGTACTTCACATAACAACCTAACTTGAATATCTGGTGTATCAGGTAACAAAACAAAACAAACTCTATGGTTTTAGTCTGTGGTTTTAGTGGACTATACCGACCAAGCGACCGCTGCTCGTCAGCAAGATTAGTGCCAACTTCAGCGGATAGAGGGTGTCACGTGGTCAGCAAAACGAATCCCCATGGCCGTTAATCTTGGTTTTCTAGATCGGAGTATCAGGTAACATCATGACAAAACTTAAGACTTACTAATAAAATTAATATATGATATTATGTGTGCACATAATTTCCAAGAAAATGCCCATAAAACACTAAACTGGCCTTTTGGAATATTCACAATCATAAAAGCCGAATTTGGCCCATCTGTGTGTGTGTGTGTGTGTGTGTGTTTGTTTGTTTCTTTCTTTCTTTCTTTCTTTCTTTCTTTGGTTTGAAATGGTGCATTTGGTGGTACTGAACTGAAAAACAGAGCTTGTTAAACATGTCAGTTTAATAACAGCTTCAATGAAAATGGTTAACAAGGTCACATGTTTTGGCGCTAATTATGCACCATCATTAGACCTGTGAGAAAGAAGTTTTACATACACATTAAGTGATGCTACTTGCAGATGAGAGTGTCCATCTACTCATTCATAAGAATGAATACTTGCACCTTATGAACTCATAAGTTAGAAATATATGACATCTCTGGAGACTACCGATATTTCTCATGCCATAAAAATGTAAGTAAAATAGAATACATTCTTACCAGGCCTTGAACCATGTCACGTTATGTGGATCAAAAGCATGAAAATATTTAGATATGTTACCACATTGGCAAACTATATGTACTAATATTATGAAGTCACTTTAACTTTAAATAGATCATCAGCATTAACCCCAGGGATTAAATCAAAATCAAACTTCAGATCAATAGTAATACATAAAGATTACTAACAATGTTTCACACTCACCTGCTGTATCCGCCGTCTACGAGGTGCACCATGGGTTCGTTTTGGTCTTACAGCCATCTTATGCCTTGCCGCACTATGACTTAGTGGCATAGCTGATACTCCCAAATCCAGTTCCAGATCTGCAAAATCATATGTTTATATTTAATTCTGCAGTTGCTTAGTTTTTCAGCGTTAATTCCTAATTTCATACACAGAAACAATTTAGATGTGTATGCCATAAATCCTGATGAGGTCATGGGATTTTTCAACTGACCTAATCCTTCCAGCTGCACTACAGCCCTGGGGTTCACTCAGCCTCTAACAGAAATGATACCAGGAAGATTCCCGGGGGGTAAAGGGCGGCCGGAACGTAAGGTTGTCAACCTTACCATTTGTAAGCTGAGTGTCTAGAAGATGTGGGAGCCTCGACGTCTCAGAACCCTATGGGCCTCCACGGCCTGCTACAGGGATAGCTTTACCTTTTTTTACCTCCTAGAAAAATAACTGTATTTCAATTTGTAGCTACAAATTCGGCGAAATCGACAGACATTTCCTCAGGGGTATTTGAAGAGAAAACAGTATATCATGTTGAGGCAAATATGGCATATTTTCAGATTCAGTGCCATGCACCTTCAGAATCTCTTCTGAAAAGAACTGCCAGAGATATAACCAAGTCTACAGAACTCAGGCTTTCTTGAAAATTTCACAGTTAGTCAGCTGTTGAATATATGCCTCCTTTTCAGAAAACCCAGAAGTTCATTTTCACGGATGTTATCTTCAGACAGCTGAATCCAGTTTATTACCTCATGCCCTATTTCTCTAAATTCAATTTTAATATTAGTTGCTCACCTACACCCAGATCTCCTGGGATATCTCTTCTTCTAAGGCTTAATGACTAAACTTATTATGCATTTCTTATTTTCCTTACACATGCTAAGTAGCCTGATATTCTTCTTACCCCTGATTTAATCAACCTCAAAATAACAGGTGAAGAATGATAATGAAAAAGTACATTAAATACATGTACAGGTCAAATTATTGCCAAGGCTTTTAGATGTTACTTTGTATTCACAGTCTTCACTGAAACAGTGATATAACCAACTTCAACTTAAGAATGAAGGCTAAGTTTACTCTCATAATCAAATTCTAAATTATTGCATAATATTAGAATTAAAATATATGTTTTAACTAAATCAAGCAGTTTAGGTTGTGTTAAAGACTGATTGCTAGATAAGTTACCTTTAGCAGGCCTTTAACTGCAGCATAAGCTCCAAGATAATTTAACTTGTAATTAGAAAGTGTGAAGTCTGAATATTAGCTTACACTGACTATACTGACTGAGGTTTATCATAGTTGTGCTAACACCTGCAGGAAAGTTCTGGAATAGCAGCCTAACTCCAAACACACAAACCACTACCTTTCCATTCTTTATGCTTTAGTCATTACTTCAGACCATCAGCTGTGACTGGTCAACCATTCATGCACCTGTCCTACTAACTAGCTAAAATGAACACATTTTCTAAACAATGGATGCATTTGCAGCCAGGATAAGGTCTGAATAATAAGAAGTTATGTGAATTATTAGCTAAGTACATCTTCATTTTCTTTCAAGTGCATTAAAAAATCCTAACAAATAAGTGTAGTTTAAAGTAAAAATATGATCGCACCATAGCTCAAGCGGTTAGTTGCTGGTTTCCCATCATGGTAGCCCGGGTTCGATCCTGGGTCTGGTCAAGTGGGATTTGTGGTGGACAAAGTGGTGCTGGGGCAGGTTTTCTCCGAGTACTTCGGTTTCCCTTGCCAGTCCTCATTCCACCAATTGCTCCACAATCACTCTCACCTATCATCTGGGGCTGGTACAACAGGCCAGAAGTGGCCGCAGTACAATGGACTTAATCCCACCCCACTAGAAATAAAAAAATTAAAAAAAATTAAGAATATTAAACAGTATTTATAATCTTGTTTTAGTGAAACTCAAATTCATATGTATGGTTTGAGTCACAGCAGCGGTGTGAAGATTTCTACATTCTGGTGAATAACACTGTTTAGTCCAGTGAAAGTCAGCTGATGTTTCAGAGGAACATAACCTCCATATTCAGGGTGGAAACATATGACAAGTAAGAGAAAAGCATAAAAGAGGCAGCTTCAGCCATGAAAACTGAAGCAATATATTCCTCCCAAATATCAGTGAACTGTCGACTTACTGGACTATATAACGTGATATCCCGGAAACTAGAACTCTTCATATTTGTAACACCCGATTTCAAACAGATGAAAAACAAAACTAACTATCCATGAACCATTCTAAACCGTCAATAAAAAGCTAACCAATTAAATAATTCAAATACATTAATGACCTTATGTCAGCCCTTTTATGTAAATGAATAATTCACAAGACTTTAGTTTGTCAACAGCTATAGGACCGTGCCAAGACCCGAACTTCAGCTGTCCAGACCATAGGTATACCAACTGGGCTACTGCGACATCTTATAGAAATCTATACACCCTTGAAAGAACATATGACTGGGTTTCAAATAGAAGGCTCTGTCTTGGAAGATAACTTAATCCCTTTAATATGAAACCTCAGTCTTGGCAAACACCCTTCCATGTTCTAAATACTGTACAATCTTCTTAAGCTGATGTATATTTATCCTATAAGGGAAACTAGCTACAATGTTCACAGAAACTCACCATTATCATGAAATGTCTTCTTGTCATGCAAGGACAGTTTTGAAGAATGGCCTGAATGTTGACCCAAAGAGTCCTGAATAAATCAAGAGACATAACACTTTAAAAACACAATATAATTCATTACTTACAAGAACATCCTTATATTACTTATAATAGTATGCTGCACTCAGGTTACAACTGTTACCACATTGCTGATTTAAAAATATATGACACTATATTCTTTGAGGAAAAAGTAGAGGTAGGACAGGAAGATAACAAAACAATCATTAATATAGTGTTTGAAGAATTAATTCTAACATTTAGCATCTCAATGAAGAATGAATGACCTGTTGAACTGGCTGGCCAAAACAAGTGCAATAAGCTGGAGATGACGTATGTTTTCTTGAATTAAAATGTCTCAGAGCCACTCAATACAAGACAATTACATGTTCCAACAAACTCCTGAGGGATAATGGAACAAGGTTGTCTAACAAGAGACAACCTCTGTATACTGTACATGAATGCACAACAACCCTAATTTAGCTACTTCATAAAATTCTTAATAAGTGGTCTTTTTTTTATTGCTAGTAGGGTAGGACTAAGTCTCTTGTACTATGGCCACTTCTGGCCTATTGTACCAGCCCCAGATGATAGGTGAGGGTGATTGTGGAGCAATTGGTGGAATGAAGATTGGCAGGGGAAACCGAAGTACTCTGAGAAAACCTGCCCCAGTGCCACTTTGTCCACCACAAATCCCACTTGACCAGACCCGGGACCGAACCCAGGCTGCCGCGGTGGTAAGCCAGCAACTAACTGCTTGAGCTATGGCACAGCCCTATTAAGTGGTCTTAGTGCCATAGGAAGTAAATGACTTTCATATTACAGAATTTTAAAAACACTGACAAAACAGAAAGTTATTTTGTAACATTTCTTGCCATAATTATGAAACACAGTGCATGCTGAATTTGAAGCCATTACAAATACTAAATATCAGGGGAGAATAATAAGTAATGCTTATAAGCTATGAAGTGTGAACATATTCCATCCAGCCAAATTAACTAACTCTAATTAACAAATTCCCCACATTTGTTGAACACAGAAATTCATTACTGTGTTCACAAGACCCAACAACTACTAAAAATATTCATTGTTTGAAATGTCTGAACCTTACATCTTTAGTATTCAAAAGAAGAGAACAGATTAGAACATAGATATAAAACAACTAAAATATTTTTGATTGAACAAAGGAAATTCCAAAATTTTCTAGTGTTTATTTCAGCCATATCTAGCATGAGCTTAGATATGCATTTAATAATTTGCTACATCTAACACAACAGAACAAAGTAAATAAAAATATCCCTTACCATGCCTGGCTGTAAAATATTACTATATGAAAGTCACTTAAATCAATTTGTCTGCTAGCTTCATCACAGGGTTCACTTATACCACAGCATGCAATGAGGATGTGGAGCTGTAGTTGATCCAGTATAAAAATTCGTCCATATTAAAAAAAAATCTTATTAAGCACAAAAATAAACTATAATTAAGAAGAAATACACCTCAAAAGTTGCTATAAATGTAATATATAGGATGCCAAATATATCTTGTAAAGCACTTTCGTACCACCATTTGAGGGCAACAATTTCAGTCAACAAAGAAAAGTGTGTGAATAAGCATGATCTGACAACAGACAGACAATGAAGGTCATGACTGCCACCTATGTCAAGCAAGAATACTTGCAGATCATAGCTGGATGAGAAATTTACAGAGATAAAAGTAATTCTGTAAACAAAAGATTAAAAAACATTAATCTTTAAAATCTATAATCATTTTGACTTATGGTACAGAAGGATGCAGGAAATCCAAATGATTGTGACAAGGTTGAAGTCTTGTATCAAAGAAATGCTGATTCTAACAGTGGCTAATAGCATGGCATTAGCATATCGGAGAATTCATTCTCTCTTGCATTTTCTTTGATTTATTTAAAAACGTTTTCAGTTTATATTGAGTAACAGAATAATCAGTATATAATACAATGGAAAGGATATGAAAGAAAGGGGTCGTGGCCTAATTTCTGATACTATTATCACATCTGCCCATTGTCACTTAGGATAGCAACTAAAAACCTTGATCAGGTAGGGCATCTGTTTCCAGAGCCAAGATTTGAATCTGGGACCTCAAAAATATGAAGTCACAACACAATATTTGTGTTGTGACTTTTGATTCAGAACAGAATACAAAAATAAAACAAAAACAAAACTTTAAATAATGAAAGGTTAAAGCAAATTTCTCTAGAAACCATGTCATGTATCTGGACTGTAATTGCAGATGCTGCTCTTAATAATTTTATCATCATATTTTCCCTTGCCACAAATACTCCAACATTTTACCTGCAACATTAAAGCCAGTGTGACATATGTTTACCTTCTTGCTTTCATGGAGAACAGAGTTACTTTCTACATCTGACAACCATCAAGCACCTTGACGCATCATTCAACAGCACATGCTCGCCAGTACTTTCACATCTTACATACAAAAGCCAATTTGATGTTTATTTGTTTGCCTCTACAGAGGACATGGACCTCGTGGGAAAAGTTGATGTGAGATGTTCTATTGAATTCTGAATGGGCATTATATACAAATTCTATAATTCAAACTTCCTTATTTTGATGGAGTGACCAGGACAAAATCCAAATTACTTCAGCCATTTAATGGGGGTCAGTGGTCAGGAAAATTTGGTATTTCATTAACTTTCATTACTAAAATTCCAATATGTTTACTCTGCCTAAAGCATCTCTGACGGTTTTCATAGTATGAATAAAAAACCTTATAGAAGAAAAGCCCCATATGTTCAATGGGATTTATGGAATTACGATTTTGATTCCCATCATAACTACAATATAGTATCTTTTAAATATGATACATGGATCAATGTCACTATCTGATGATGATGCTCACTCAAAGATGTTTCAGACAAATTTTAGTCAGGTAACTTATAAGTAGAGTGGATTTAAAGCTTAGCTGTTTCTTGACAGTTTGCACTTTGAACAAAACAAACAAATGTAGTTTACAGGTGTAATGATGTTCAAGTGAGTCCCGTTCATTGCTCCACACATTTCAACAGGTATTCTAACTCTTGCTACATACAAATGCGTGCATGTGGAATTACATTCTGCCATACCTCTATTCTGTTTCTTTGTGTCAGAAGGACCAAGCCAACTTCCTGACCACATACACTGTTTCTCTTCCATAATCCAAAATATAACGGTGGCAGAGCAATGTAGCAATGTAGCAAAACTGTCTCTCATATGATGGCTTCCTAGTTTAATTTTCTGTAATAACTACAACTTTAACCGCAGAAATGACATAATTCTTGTACCCCCTTTAAAAATTTTGTCTTCTTCAACCATATCCTACAGAACATGTATGCACAGAGCAAACCTGTCTCATGGATAGTCTTCACAAGCTCATCACTGACAGAAGGTCTTCTCTTACTATTTTTTCCCACTATCTTTCTATCTTTCAAACATCTGTTCTACTAATGACTGTTGGTTTTATGCTTGGGAAGAGCACATTCTTAAAAAAAAATTAAATATATTAAATTTCAGCCAAACATAATGTGCATCTGCAAGACTCTGGATCTTGACAGATGTGAGGATTGCAGCAAATCGGAACCATTAAAGAAGTGGCAGCAGCATGAATAAGCAACTACTACCTGAACCAAAACATTCAGTACATACTTTGTAGTGGCTGTGCAAGCTCCATGCTACTGTCTTCATCAGGCATAATATTAATGTACTCAGTGTCAGTGAAATGATGCTTTGCACTGCACAGACATAAACATAAATGCTCTAGGTCAGTTCAGCTGAGCACTACATAAGTATGCTAGTGGTCAGTATGTTCTGAACTGATTCTATGCACATTAGTTATGTCTGGTAATGCCCCTTGCCCCCTCAGCCCTCAAGTATCAAGACTAGAGAGTCTGTCTGTATCTTCATTTGCATTGATGACATCTTAACTGAGACCACTACCTCACCACGTTCTTGACCAAGCTCAGGCAGTAATGCTTCTGACATGCATTCAGGAGGTTCTCGGTTCAAACATTGGCTGGGAACTGAGTATGCCAACTTAAGGTTTTTGTGATTTTCTTCACTCCCTCCAAACAGTATCTGGGCCACGACCTCTTCCTTCTACATCCTTTCACATTCTTTATTTATCATCTTAGAATTCGACACTATGTAGTCTGAGCTACTAACAGCGTTTTTAAATAAATTACAAGTAAATGAACGGGGCATATTCACATCCAAAACTGTACAATCTTTCTTACCATATTACAGCGCCACACAATTCATTCATGTAAACTTTAGTCAACCATGGCTGGCTCTTTACCACAGGGGCCTGATGTCAATCCCAGGACAGTCAATGCAGCATTTGTGGTGGACAAAGTGGCACTGTGGCAAGTCTATCTCCAAGTAATTCTGGTTCCCCTCGCCAATTATAACTTCACAAAATGCTCTATATCAACTGTCAACTGTCAACTGGTACAATACACCATTTGCAGCCCAAGCAGCAAGGAACTCAACCCCCCACCATATGAAAAAGAACTGCTACTTATGGTCAATCCTAAGACATGTTGTTATGGGATTGTTTATGTACGCTTCCCTTTTTCATGTGGTCTGGTCCCTAACCGCCCAAGCTATTCCATGTCTGGGCAGTTAACAATATAGGCAACATGAAAATTGAAACTTCAGCTGATCTGGTTGTGCTCACCTCATCCATTTCGGAACTTCCCATACTTAGTAAGGACCCATCACTACATGTACTATGTGACTTGGTAGGGTTTTCCTGCAAGAAAAGAAAGTAACAATTAGCAGTGGTCTGTTGTATTTTATTTCTGGATCATTTAATAACTCTGCATCAGCTACACACGTTATACAGCGTCAAAATTGTGGAATGAAAGAATATGTGTAAAAACAGTCATTGCCGAATTACAAGATTAATGTATAATTATGATTTACACAACTTCACTCAGTAATGTTTCATTAGGCACATTTTCCATTCCTTAGGAATAAATCCTACATGCGAACTAAATATTGTGTTTAGTAAAGGAACCGGGATCGGCCACGCCACGGCAAGCGGTTAGTCGCTGGCTTCCCATCGCGGTAGCCCGGGTTCGCTCCCGGGTCTGGTCAAGTGGGATTTGTGGTGGACAAAGTGGCGCTGGGGTAGGTTTTCTCCGAGTATTTCGGCTTCCCCTGCCAATTTTCGTTCCACCAATTGCTCCACAGTCACCCTCACCTACCATCTGGGGCTGGTACAATAGGCCAGAAGTGGCCGCAGTACAACGGACTTAGTCCCACCCCACTAGCAATAAAAAAAAAAGGAGCCGGGATAGGTCATTCGGGATAGCGACGGGCTACGGGCTGGAAGGCAGGGATAAGAGTGACATTTCTGTTCTTCATAGCGTCCAGACCGGCTCTGGGGCCGATTCAGCCTTCTATCCAAAGGGTACTGGGGTCCCTTTCCCTGGAAGTAAAGAGAAGGGGTCGTGAAGCTGACCACTCACTCACCATCTAGTGCCAAGGTCAAGAATCGCATAATGCATAATTAACTAGGCAGAGACACTTTACCTTTTCCTTTTACCTGAGTTTAATAACGAATGTTTACGTTTACTTATACAGAAACACAAACAACTGAAGCCCCTGACACAACTTTAAACCCACTCTTTCACTCAATGCTCTTCCTTATGTGGTGTGTATACAGCACAAATAAGCCGCCGACAGCCTAACAGGGACTGTAATATTTCTATTCGCTTAAACACCAGGAACTGACTCATTCACAGCCTAATGACAAAGTAAACCTGAAGACAATATCAGACTGGACACCCATCACTCCGATGAGACCGGTATGCAATTAGATCCCTTGATGGATGTCATCTATATTTGAAAAAGCACACAAATTTAAAATACAAGACTTAAATAAACTGACATAATCAGTTTAACTTGGTTCATCCTGGTCCGTCACACTAATAATTCCATATAAGATTTTTAACCACCATCCAGTGTGATTGATAAAAAATTTTTTCGTCCTTACATGTTTCGGTCAAAATGACCATCTTCAGAAGGATATTATCAACACATACTGAAACTACTATTACCATGTCATATATATATTACATATTTTAACTGATGCTAAGATGTGATTAAACATCTAGAAATTATTATAATAAGTCTGTTTACAAAGTAAAGTACAATATTTGTTCTAATCTAGAACCAATTTCGTTCCTGTCATTACACTCCTTCTCATTAATACTTTGTAAACAAACTAACTAATAATTTCTAGATGTTTTAACAAATCAATGCACATCTTAGCATTAGTTAAAAGATATAATATGTATATCTATGACATTGGTAAATAGTAGTTTTAAAATAAGTTGATAACATCCTTCTGAAGATGGTCGTTTTGATTGACATGTATAGGATGAAAAATTAAAAAAAAAAAAAAAAAAAAAAAAAAAAAAAAAAAAAAAAAAAACACACAACTTTTATCAATCACACTGGACAGTGGTTAAAAATTGTATTGACATAATCAGTGCATTAGAACAGTAGAAAGCAAACAGAACTCTCCACTATGTGGACAACGCAAAATCCAGGAAGCTTCTTTGCCTGAACACTAAAAAACGGTCGTAAATTGGACCGAGCGATGTACGATCTCTTTCAAGCTACAGTTACTGTTTCACTATCCATATCTGTGAACCAGGTGTTAGCCGCTGTCTGCATCCTCGCCTAGCCATGTAAATGAACTCAACAACAAATTTATTCACGGGAAACAGATTCCTCTCTTCTCCCCAGCGTCGAGACCGGCTCTGGGGCCCACCCAACCTCACAGACATTGGGGAGTAAAGCGACGGAGGCGTGAAGCCGACTCTTAACCTCCATGTAGTGCTCAGATCAGGAATAGTGGAGATATACCTTCACTCCCTCGTATGTTTTCATGGCGTTTACCTTTATCATCAATATGTCCGAGCGGACTGAAGACGTTACGGTAACGCTCGAGACGCGTATTCAGAAAGTGTTCGGTTCGAATCTCGGCCGAAACACCGGCTACATTAACCGAGGTTCCTGAGGCCAGACGCCATCTACTTATCTCCACGGGCTTTCTTAACAAAACGTCGTAACTATTATTCTCAACAGCAATACACGTAGGAACGAATTCCCGAAATTGAATTATAATAACTTCTGTAATAATGCCATTCCCCCAGATCTTCTGTACTGATCTGATGTGTCTACATAGTACTAAAAGCAATACGATCCCATCAAATAGCGTACGTTTACATACATATTCAGTACAGAAGAACGGAATATGAATTTGCCATAAATGCGTGAATGCCATACCGTGACCTTTGTTATTACCGGTTCTATCTCCATGTGGAATAAAGAAAACAATGACAATGTTTGACATATGAAAAGATGAACACAGCAAACCAAACAAAATGGANTATTTTTTTGACATATACGTTCGTTTCAGCCGCAGTCAAGGCTGGAAAGGTAGCACTTATACAAAATGGAGCATAAATTTATGTAAAATAAGAATGTATCAGAATATAAAAGGTAAAGTTGTCCCTGTACGTAACTATTTAAGCACTACTTCATTAAGGCGTATGGGGGAGTGGATGTATAGATCCACATTTTCTTGACCTCGGCATTAGCTGGAGGTGAGTGGTCGGCTTCACGACCGGCCGCTTTATCCCCGGGGAAAGAGCTCCCGGTACCCATTGGATAGGAGGTTGGGTGGGCCCCAGAGCCGTTCTGGACGATGTGGAGAAGAGAAAATTCTTGACCTTACCGGGATTCGAACTCTCACCCCTCAATCGTCCAGCCCGTAGCCAGTCCAGCCCGACTGAGCTATCCAGGATCATTGATACGTATCTTAACGTAACACATTATAATATGTTAACTCTGTATATCCGATACTAGTGACCGTAGAAGTCGAAATACCTAAAGTATTTAAATAATAATAATAATAAAATTAATAATAATAATAATAATACTTGGCGGATTCGTGTAACTCGATTCCTGGTAAGTTTGGGGCTTACATTGCGTATGAAATATTGCAAGCCTTTAGTTATAAATATGGCGACGATACGACATTTTGAGGTTATGTCCAACAAATTTTACTTATATACAAAAAATAAAATAATAGAATAGTAGATCTGTAGGACTAGAAATCTCTGGGACGCGAAAGTAGGCTTTATGGGTTCTGCTCGGAAGTTATTAAGTTACTGTTGCAATTTTGTCTCCGAAGCCGCTGTTAGAAACTAGATATTGAACATATTCTTAACAGAGAAAGTGAAACGATACGGCGCAAACATGGAGACGATTAGAGATGGGAAGGGAAGTCCGCCAGACGCATCTACTTCCGCGTGCTTCATTCATATCTCAGCTGAGGAAGAGGAACTTACGATTTCTTCTTTGTTTGTGTGTTATATGTGTTAATCGTGGAGACTGTTGTTTCCTATGTCACGGTCTGGTCACAGAGTTATCTGTGAAAACAATAGTAGTGCGCTCTGACGGTCACGTGGTGCTATTGTTGCCTGATACTTCCCGCCGCACTGGCAATGCAAGATTGGCATATTGTCGCCTTAGTTCTTAATGGTTAAAACTGTCTTCAGTTTTAATTATTTTTCAGTATATAAATGCTTGTTCCTTAAGACATGGGGGCTATATATTCGTGATTAATCTGAGCAAAATTGCAGTATAGATTAGAAAAATAGGAAGTTCAGGGAAGAACTGATCTCCTACTCTCCTTTGATATGACACAGGACGCATCCAACACTTCTTCTTTTCCTGCTTGTATATTCGTTACTGCGGTAAGATTTTTACCCAGCTGTTGCCTAGCAACGATAGGGGGTTACACATATAGATAACACAGATTGATGGGATGGTTTTATGAAGTACGCTGTTGAGATTGCCTCAAGTCCCACAGTACAAAATTTGATAAAGATTGGTCCAGGCACTCAGAAGTTAATAGGGTGAGGGGATACCGAATGACACAGACATCATGGTGTTCATACTCTTGTTTTTGAAAATAAGGAAGATAGACTAAACTCAGTTCCATTTTATAAGATTTGAGGCTTTCACGGCGGTGACTATGAAGAAAGCAGTCTTCTGGGATTTGTCACCGTGTATATGTGGTGTTAACCGACGTTTCGGAGGAACGTATCGCCCCCATCTTCAGGGTTGAAGAAGTATAGGTAAATCTGCAAGCGACGACACCGTGAGACACGGTCAAGAAGATGGGGGCGATACGTTCCTCCGAAACGTCGGTTAACACCACATATACACGGTGACAAATCCCAGAAGACTGCTTTCTTCATAGTCACCGCCGTGAAAGCCTCAAATCTTATAAAATGGAACTGAGTTTAGTCTATCTTCCTTATTTTCAAAAACAAGAGTATGAACACCATGATGTCTGTGTCATTCGGTATCCCCTCACCCTATTAACTTCTGAGTGCCTGGACCAATCTTTATCAAATTTTGTACTGTGGGACTTGAGGCAATCTCAACAGCGTACTTCATAAAACCATCCCATCAATCTGTGTTATCTATATGTGTAACCCCCTATCGTTGCTAGGCAACAGCTGGGTAAAAATCTTACCGCAGTAACGAATATACAAGCAGGAAAAGAAGAAGTGTTGGATGCGTCCTGTGTCATATCAAAGGAGAGTAGGAGATCAGTTCTTCCCTGAACTTCCTATTTTTCTAATCTATACTGCAATTTTGCTCAGATTAATCACGAATATATAGCCCCCATGTCTTAAGGAACAAGCATTTATATACTGAAAA